AATTCTGATGCATTGGTAGCCAGTAAGAAAGACTATGATTATACCAATTTTTCTTTGAGTATTGCGAATTTTTCTTTTTAAAGTAACAAAGTAACTTCATGAAATTAATAATTTAACAGTAACTTAACAGTTACTGTTTATTTTCATAAACTATTAACTAAACGATAGACAGTCTCAAAACATCTCCTCAATCCTTTAAAAATCAACAGTTCCAAAAAAATGCAATCACAAAACACAAAAAGACTATATCAAACTCAATTATATTTCAAAAATATTCTCCAGGATACAAAAAAACATAAAAGGATTCGTTGTTAAGACACGAGGAAATGGACTACGACAATTTGCACGGCCCATCCTTCGCGAGCAGGCTCGCTATCCCGAAAATATCGGGTATCGATTTCGTCCCGGCCACATCGGCAAACCTTGGCATTGAATTCTCTCCACCCCGCCCCGGTTCTTCTGCTTTCGGTATCTTCTCTTTATTTTCCGGCACGCTTTTCATGCATCCCGCTTTTCCTTCCCTTTTCATGCGCGGCATTGTTAGAATAGACGCTCCGAAACTACTTTTCACCCGGGGGGCTGGCTGCGCCACCCCCGACCGACCCTTCCGCGCGCAATATCTGCCTGCATTTTGTCGTTATGGCATTGTGGGCCCCGCCGCGACACACGGAACAGTCTGTTGTTCCCTCTGCCGCACGTTCTATTCTTAATACCAGCCGATCATCCGTTCGCCGCGGATTTTATCTCGCTACCGCGCAACGACGGCTGTTTATTCCAACGGAAACCGATGATAAAGTTCCTGGAATCCCCGAGTTTCCGCTGCGAGACAGGAATATTCAATGAAATTGGTTGTCGATGGATGTAAGATGTTTATAGAGTTTCTAGTTTTTTTAATTCTTTGTAGATGGATATACGAAGCGTGAGGGAATCAATGAAGTAAAGGATGAAGAAGGATCTTGATTGGAAATTATTTTATTGGAGAGGGGTTTTATAATTATTGAAGATAGTTTAGAAAATAGTTTTATACAAGAGTCTTTAATATTTCTGTATCGAATTATGTGGTGAACGAGAATCACCTCTCAAGTACAAAGGGTTAATAAAGGGATTGAAAGTTTGGAATGTTCCTTTTATTTAACTACTGATTAACAGAGATGTTCTTAATAAAAAAAGAAGAAGAAAATGTTCAAAAGATTCGAATATTTAAAGGGTGCAGATGTTGAAATGTCTCTTGGCTGCAAGATTATTAGACAGTTCAAGGATACCGGCTTCCAGGGTGTCCATTGGACGCCAAGGATACTCTGTATCCCGAAAATCTCACACATTTTGAGATCCCAAACGTCTCCGCGGACTTTAAGGCTCTAGCAAGAGATTTCTAGGGTATGAAGAATCTCCGCTATCTCTGAGACGCTAGAGGTATCAGTAGTATCAAAGCTCGGCTAGCTGTCCCGAGAGTTCCATTGGTTTGATCATTTTTTAATATCAATTCTACCCGACGTAACATCCTGTAACTAACTCCTAAGGCTCTGAATACTGTATAAGAACCTTGAAAAATTAAAAGCCGGCAGCGAAGCTTGATCAACCCGTAACAGGTCGAAAATCTTCAGAGACATCCGGAACTGTCTGGTCCCCAGGGCGAAAAAGAGGATTGCAGGCAACAATCTGTGAATTTTTAACGGCGGGTAATTCCATTTCGTCCGGCCGGAGACAGAACGGTCCTCAAAACGTGAAAAATATCGTTCTCCGCGGAAAACGGTCGTGTTTCAACGGCGTAACTAAATTCCCTGCTAGATCCAGTAACTCGTAGGAACTCCGCCAGTATTTCACCGGAACTTTTCTTCGTAGTTCGATCAAAACCCGGCTTGGTTGTTTGAACAAGTTCCCTAAATCAAAGGTGAAGGTGTTTCATCGGATCCAGCCTCTCCCGGCAACCCTAACGATGAAATATCTGCGCAGCAACGCTCGCCAACCTCCCACCAAGCGAAAAAACGACGAAGATATATACCCGCGTTCTTCGGTTGAACACTTAACGCCGATAAATCTAGAGTAACGAATACCAAACCAGTAATACTCACACACAATTTTTGATCCTGATTAACACATACCCGAGTTTCCTGATTTTTCGGACTTGCATCGATTGTTTTGTAATTATTGAGAAAGTATGAATGGCTTTTGGGGAAGTTATTGCATAAGTTGATTTGCTAACGTGTATTGTGAAGTACAATTGAATGGAAATTTAGTAAATCCATTTTTATGAATATTTATAAGGGAAATACGAACTGGTTGTTTAGATTGCTGCATAGTTCTAACTTCAATTCTATGTTGTTACTTTATTCGAGAACGTTTAAGAAGAATCAAAATTGTATCTACGAATACTTATGATATCACAGCAACAACTATAAATTTCTTAGCGAAAATCGCTAAACGTAGGTACTGCTACGAAATCATACGTTGAACTTCATTCCGCGAATTTAATAAAAATGCGAAAACCTCACTTTAAAATGATGATGAAACGATCCACTGACACTCGAAACCTTGTAATATTGCTGCTTTATTTCCCGAAAACGTATTTCCATGTTCTAGTAACCGAAAAAGACCGGGACAAGGAGCGGCGGGGAAGATCGCTGCGAAAGGAGCAAACTCGCGGTTAAAGTCGGCCGAAACGCTACACGCGTCTCATGCGAAATTTATCCGAGATTCGAGAGACAACGGATGGGCCGCACCGCAATGGAACACCGGTTTCCTCGATAGGAAAGCGTGCAACCCGGCAGATTACTTGCTAAAACTTTCAGCATGGTCTGGGAACGAAATCCTCTGTTTTTCGGGAAATGATCCCAGTCTACAGGAATACAATAACGAAATAAAGCCAAAGGGGCGGGCAATCCGCGTCCTCAAAGCCTGGGCCACGTGATCGCGAGTACGTGTCCCGCACGGAACGCGTCTCTCGGTTTCAGGTGATCCACTGCAACGTTTTTGGCTTTGTTGCCATTGTTCGCGACGATGTAAACCCTTGGGTTCTCCTTTCTTCTCCTTCTTTTTACTCCATCGACGAATTAAAAGGCTTCTCAATATTTCATACGAACACGAAGCAGATCGAGGCGATGGTTTTCAAATTTCATAACGTCCGAGCGTTGCTGGCATTCACTTGATTGTCCGTGCTTTTTAATACAAGAAACCCAGACTAATCATTTGTATCTGGCCTTTTCCTAAATCTTACAGCTTGGTTTTGTTTGTTGCAGTTTCGAGTGAAACGCCAAAATTTGTCTGATAAAAATAGGATGCGAAATTCTGTCACTGCTTGTCCTTTGTTAGCAGCGATGAGAAGAGAATTTGTGGATTGAGCGATTGCAAGTAGATGATCATAGTCTGGGACATCTGAATATTTCGGGGATCTAAGTGATGACATGAATCTTCTTTCAACTGGTTGATCAATGGACGATTATGCAGAAAGGAGTCCAGGATAGGGGACAAGGCAAACGTCTTCAAAGTCCAAATTATGTTTTCAGATTTTCCACGTGTCTAACTTGGAAAATTCATTGTACCTTGACTTGATAGATAAGCATAGCACCAGCTACCCGTTATTTCCAGCGTTAATGCCTCGACAATAACCCAGCAGACACCGAACGGCGACGAGTAGACGTCTAGGTAGTCCTCAAACTTTACAACCCCCATTGATTATCGCCGGGCCATAGTCGTCGCCACCTCAATGCCAACTATAATAGCCACTAAATTCCAAATGGAGCATCTGCAGCGTCCCCGGACGCGGAAAAGGGGGATGGGTCGTGTGATTCGCTAACACGTGCTAAAACGGGTGCTAAATATAGCAGCGAGAAATTATAGATGCATTACCGCAACAAGCGAACCCCCGTGTTCTTCGGCGCGCTGGAGAAGCAATACGCAGCAGTGGCGTACTGCCAAGGAATAGCCATATCGGTGGGTGGATTGAAGTTATTAACGCGTTATCTGCGAGGAAAATAAAATATTAAGTGTTTTACGTAACACTTATTCTTTCGTGCCAAAAATAAATAGGAATAATTATTAATTCAATTAACTTTAGTATTAATTTTGTAATTATCAACTTCAATGTAATTTGAGGATTTCGAGAGCCATGTCCTATACAAATCCTCGCTTCATCAGAAGATTAAGGACACACTAATGGTGCCAAATATTAATTATTCGCCATGACAATCCTTATATTATACTATTGCCAACTTACCTACGTTATTAAACATTTTTATCCAACATCATTCAGTTTACATATTACAATTGTAAGTGAACATAACAGCCAACCTAACTTTTTGCACTCGAAGCAATTTAAATAGAAGAAGCGTACTTATTCATGTATAAATAAATGATACACACATAAAAAGTCATAGATTTATTGTTTTTTATTGATTGTAGATATGAATGTTATGATACACTTAACGATAAAATGTTACAGTTTGTAATGGCGGATTTTAAATGGCTTCACTCCGGAGTCCTCGAGTGCAAAGGGTTAAATATTTAAAGACGACGTATCGTGGGGAGCCGACTGCGCTAATAGCGTTTCATCATCGCACCCAAGAGATTTCCACGGTTTAGTCGAGTTTTTTCGTCGGGGAACCCGTTTACCCGGCCTTGACTCCATTCGACGGGAAAAGGTGTAACCGGTGAGTATCCTTGCGCCTTTTGTTCCACCGCAACTAGGTGAAGCCGATTCATCAAGCTTATCTACTCGATCATCTCTTGGTTCGCTTGGACTCACCGTATAGGGGATCCAAGGTCGACCGAACTCTTAATGGCAGAAATATTTGCAGGCTTCGATGCAGCGGATCATTGAGTTTAATGTTTCGCGAACCTGCAGGTGTGCCATTATCTAACGAATAACTGCGGTGAGTAGAAAGGGAAAACGGTGGAGAAATTTTGTAGTTGCGTGATGCTCGAATAGGGCAGGGGTCGAGAACCTGTTTTTAGTAAAGTGCCATTTCTTCCATAAAATTTGAAACGTTCTACGAAGAGCTACAAGGATGAAAGTGTAATGTAAGTAAAGAATATTAAATTTAAATTATTTGAGAACTTTAATTATTTTAGTTAGACCAGAGGGATAGATTTAAAATAAAGAGCAGGTTGTTTAACAGGTCGTTATTAATATATTCTGTTAAATACTAGTTAATTTTTTTAGTAACATTTCATATTGTTATTTTAGTGAATGTGAAGAGCATAAAGTAAACATTTTCTTCTTACGAATTCTTTGCTGAACCTAGCTGTGCCTTAATAATATTTATTTAAATTTAAGAGCATGCGTGTAATTGGACTATTAAAATTAATAATTGAATATAGAAGAATTAGTACTATGGATAAACTAACAGAAAAAATTAGTTTGATGATTAGATGTACTATTTACCGTATAAAATGATCAACAGATAATGAGGAGAAGCAAGTAACCGTGTATTTTGCAATTTGAATCGAATCGTTTTGTGATTTTTTGCTGCAGTATCCGATGCAGTTCAACATCTGACTCCTGAACAGCCTCGAATTCCATCCCTGGGGAAGGAACACCGTGGAGACGTGATCAGAATTCATCTTTACAAGTTTCCAGGTTACTGAATGAATTCTGCATCTTCTCAGGTGGCTGTCCTATTTACGGCACCGTAACCGTACTTGAAATTTACTGCTCAATCCACGAATTTTGATAAATACTTGGCTTCCTAGAACCTGAGGATCTCCAGCTTGATACAGACAAGACATTGTTTCTATTCTAACTCATCGTAAATTCGAAATATTTTTTATATAAGTAACTCATTAGCCAAATCAAGTCTTCGAAGTAACCTCTATTATTATCGTAATCTTTGCATGGCCACAAGAATTCTTGTTATTTCGTGATATTAAACCCAATAATAAATTGATTTTAAACATAAAATATTAAAAGTAAATCAAACGCATTAATGACAAAAAAGTATTTCGAAGCTCAAAAAGTGAAGTTGATCGATTTGGTCAATAGTCAATCTTGCTTATACGCCAAGGGACCAGCGCACTAATCATCAAAGTAATTTGAAACGAAGAATAAGAATGTATAAAATAACTGATGAATACTTCGTTAAATGGGGCTCACCGTCGACGTCGCACGGAAACGATGAAATCTTGGTAAATAACCGGCGCATCGCTTGAGCGCGACCGTGCCGTTTCCACCGACTATTCCAACGAACCGTCTCCTAAATGGCACGGTTCACAGCCTGAATACATAAGCGAGAATATTAAGTAGAAATTGAGGCTTGCGATACGTGTACATGCACTTAAAATCGGATCGGTAATCACACGAGTGTAATTGGTGACGTCTATTCAGCAAAGCTCCGCGGCGCGTCGCAAATTTTAATGATTCCACCTAGCCAGCAACCACTCCAAGCTCGCCCTCGTCGTTCGGCGAATTTCTTTTCTTTGTCCGTGCTCGGAATGTTAAATTTATTCCGGGTTTCTTTATTTTCTTGTACTTTCCCCTGTTTTTAGCTTTCTTGTTTTACAGGTGAATTTTCGAAGCGGTATAACAAGCGATAATTATCGGATGCGACGAACCGAAACGCGTTTCCAGATGATTTGACGGACACGACAAACAGGCGTGTAAACGCGCGTTTATAATTCGGCGAAATGATTAATTCCAGGTCAGCGCGCGGCACTGACGAGGGACAAATTTATTGTTAGTCGTTAACTCGTACCGAGCGGCGCGTGAAATATGCAAATGGTTAGCCCATCGAGCAATACGTCCTGCACTTATGTTTATTCATAGAGTTCAAAGGAGATATTTACTAGGGGGCCACAGTGAATTATATGGATGTTCGAGTGATCTTCCGTAACGCATTAACACGTTCACGACCACGGTCGAATTTAAAGTACCCTCGCTGTAAACCATGTCGTTTTTGCAATTCTTTATGCAATATATATATATATTTTGATGTACTCAAAGCGGCAATAGGATATACCATACGCCAAATATATGTTAATATCAGCATAACAACAGCATGATCGCGAACATGTTAATTACGTGAAATATCTACTTTACGAAAGGTAAAGACGTATGTGTAAAAATATATGTATTCTTCATTGACATATATTGTAGAATATATTCTATAGAATATTATTCTGTAAGATTTTAATAATTTTAGTATATTTTATAGAATATATTCTATAATATATAAATAAATATACATTACACCTAATATAGACACAATATCATGGAAATATATATGAAAACACATATATAAGAATGCATAGGAACACACTTATAAAACTTGAATTAATTCCAAGCTAATTCTATTACGATCGACGTCAACTGTAAGGACTTTCACTTCCACACGTTGACCTATGGAAAGCGTACAGTTTTTCATCCATTTCATTGGTATCAGACCATTACTGCCAACACCTATGTCCACGAATGCCCCGAAATGGGTGACGTTTCTCACTGCACCAGTGAGCAATGATCCACTGCTTATATCCTTGATGGTGAGCATACTGTTCCTGAACAGAGGGCAGTTAGACTTCAACCTTATATCTTCATCTTTTTTCATAGATAGTCCTTTAACGATTACTTCCATCGTTGTTTCATCTGTACCGAACCTGTCAGCTAAAACGGCACAACCTTCCTTAGCGTGTGATATTATTTTCTCGATAAATGAAGTAGTACCAAGATCTTCCAACTTGCAATCGCAATACTTTAAAAATTGCTGGGCAATTTCGTACGACTCAGGATGAATCCAAGTTTGATCTAAGAAATTTGGATTGTACTTGGAATTTTTAGTGCCTTTGATTTTAGTTGAAGCATCGGTCACTGATGTTTCTGGTAATATTCTAATAAATCCAGCGCATTGTTCGAAAGTTTTACTGCCAATGCCCTTGACCTCCAGTATGTGTTGTCTGTTTCTGAATGGACCGAATTCATTTCTCCATTGTATGATGTTATTTGCCCTGGACACGTTCAAACCAGCAACTCTTTTTAATAGACACTGGGATGCAGTGTTCACATCTACCCCTACGAAACTCACAGCCTCAGAGACTACCTAGAATAATTTGTATAATTTTTATTATTATTATTTTATTTAATAATTGCTTAATTAACGTAAAGCAGATAAGGTTTATGCTGACTTCGTTTAATGTTGCTGATAATTGTTTCTCTGGCAGATCATGTTGATACATTCCTACACCTAAATGTTTAGGCTCTACCTTTACCAATTCGGCAAGTGGATCTTGTAAACGCCTTGCTATGGAAGCAGCGGAGATTATATTAGTATCAAGGTCTGGGAACTCGGATTTTGCTTCTTTACTGCAGCTGTAGATTGACGCTCCGGATTCATCGACTATTGTGTACGAAACATCTAATGCCTTTGACTTAATCAATTGATTTAAAAATAACTCTGTTTCTCTGCAAGCTGTAGCATTACCCAGTGCTAAAATTGTACATTTATATTTATTTATCAGTTTCATCAAAACACTAGCAGATTGTTCTATATATTTCTCTCCCTTCTTATGTGGGTAAATTACTCCTGTATCAAGAATATTTCCGTGTTCAGAAATTACTGCAAGTTTACAGCCATGGGAAAATCCAGGATCTATGCCAAGTATGACTTTTCCACGAACAGGTGAAGTGAGAAGCAATTGTTTAACATTAGTTGCAAAGACTTCAATGGATGCTGTTTCTGCCTTTTGTTTCATTTCATTTCTAAGTCGACGAGTTACTAATGGTTTAACGAATTTTGTGTAAGCATAAGCGATACTCTCATGCATTAGACTACTATGAAATTTAGATGCTGTCATAGCTTCTTTGTATTGTTTGCAACAATATGACTTAAAAGCTGTTTGAAAAGAATCAGGTAATACAACTTTTACTGTAAGAATTTTCTGTGCCTCCCCTCTATAAATAGCTAAAATTTGATGTGGTTTAATAGTTCTTGTGCTGGCATTGAAATTGTAGTACACTTCATACTTTCTGTTAACATCTTTTTCTTTAGTATCAGACTTACTGGTTTTACATTCTGCAACTTGTATGTTTATTATACTTTGATTTTGAAGCTCTTTGACTTTATCAAATACTGATTTGTCTTTATTAATTACATCTGCTATTATATGAATAATTCCTTCTTTAACTTGGTCCTGCGTTTTTAAGCCTTCTTTATCAGAATCAACAAGTGACGACAAATGGGGTAATGTTTGACCTTGTAACACTGCATCGCTTACTAATCCCAAGCCTAACTTCTTAGCTCTCTCCGCTAAGGATTTTGTGGATGAACTCTTGAAAAGGGAATATATGTATTCTAAATCGTCTAAACATTTAGCAGATTTAACAGCAGCATGTACGTTAGGTGTCCAATGCCCTAATTTGTCAATAGCCTTCAAAATACTAGCAGCTCGATGTTTGATTGTCATAGCGCAATCAAAACTCTCTTTCATTGCTCGTAATCTATCAGGTTCCATACCTCCAGTCATGTTTCTTCTATACCTTGCAATAAATGGTATTGTATTGTCTTCTTTAAAAAGTTTTATCACATTGTGTGCTATATGCTTTTCAACATTATTTACTTCACTTACATAATCTATATCTGTCCATTCTATACATTCTACAGAATTAAATTTTGATAATAATTTATCTTTTAATGAATCTTTAATGTTCTCTTTGTCCTTGTCAGCATTTTCTATTTTTTCTTTTCTGCTGTTAAAATTATGTTTTCCCTTTTTCTTTGAATCCAACAATTCTTCGACATTTGTGTCAATAACAACCTCTGTTTTTACTTTTTTATTTTTTGCCTCTGTTATTCTCTTGTTCTTCTTTTCTGATTCGATAACAGTATTTATTTTTCTTTTTTTAGTGTTAGCATTAGCAGAACTAACCAAGGTTTCTACTTTTCTCCTTTTTTGACTTGTTTTAGTCACTGTCTTATTAGGAACATAATCATCATCACTTGAAGCATCTCCCACTTCATCTTCAGATTCACTTATCTCAATTATTGTTTCTGCTTCCATTATGAAAACTCATAAAAATATTAATCTTACGTGATACCTAAATTATAAATATTACAGCTTCTTCGATGACAATTAACATTTATATGTGTAAATGTGTAATAAATGATTAATGACACTTCTGATTACATGGGAAATTAATCTCATATCAAACTATTTTCAATTAAATGATACTCATAGCAATACCTGCTTCCATAACATTATATAAATTTTATTACTATATTATATTTATTTATAAGTGAGTCATTTAATTTGTAACTGAAAGACTTAAAACTTTTTGAATTTCCAGACCACAATGCCGTAACAACCTATGTACATTCCTAACCAAACCTGACTATAGCTCATATGGTTTATCATTGAAAACGTGCCTTAGTAAAGTTTTGAAGAACGTCCTCATAGTAATGTATTATTTTTGAAAAGCTTGTAAATAATTGTATTACAGTTACATTACGAAGAAATTTTTAAATATAAATTTGAATTTTAATATATTTTGCAGTTTATTCTATCTATCTCATTATATATATATATATGTACGTATATGTTTAAACAATTTTTGTTTATAAAAGTAATATCAGTAAATATGTATCAATTTTGTGATGTAGAATCAAACATACATAACAAAGTACTTGATAATATAAGATAAGTAAGTATATATACTTTAAATGTTTCGAATACATGTGCAATGGCAGAAAAATTTCGGTTGCTATTGAGAAATTTATCCAACCAAGTAATTAAATACCAATTGTTTAATAATGCAAAAGCAACAGTCAATAATGCCACAGTAAAAGCACATGAAAGACTGAATAATATACAAAATGTTGTTGCTACAAAATATGATGTTATTACAAAGGTATTAGATTATATTATTTAATAATATTATTACAATAATTATTGTTTGATATGTTTGTTAACATACATGTTTATAAATATATATAAATATTACATGAAGTGTCTTCCATTGATTTCAGCAAGTGAATGATAATATAACATTAATTCAAAATTTAAATGCAAGTAAAATAGAACCAACTCCATTACCCAAAAAATTTGTGAAATGGTGGCAATGGTATCAACAGTTAACAGGTTTGGATGCAGTTGAAATGGCCAAACACCAAGTAATTTTTGCTCAAGATAAATTATTTAAATGTCAAGATGAAAGGAGAAACCTTAATCGACAAGCAACAATGATAAATGAGAAATTGAAGGAAGTGTACTCAGAACTTATACAAACTAGAAGGGATGACCCAAAATATGTACAGTTAACAATACTAGAAAATAAAAGTCTTCAAGATCAAGGAAGAATTACATCAGAGCTTAATTTGTTAGAGAAAGAAGAAAAAGATCATTTTACAATGTTAACAACAGCCATTAAAGAATATCATGATAGTCAAACAATGTATGCTCAGAAATACAAATACTTGTCTATTGTTGCATCTGCTATACTAGCAATTATGTCATTGATTGGTTCAATGATATACAATAATAAAAGAATTGCAAATATCCGAGATGTTATTGGCAAAGGACAAGAGAAAAATGAGAGCATATTACAAAGTACTCTTCACTCTTTAGAAGATAGCGTAAATAGAAAATTCAGTGAGATACTGCTCAGATTAAACAATAATAATGATAAATCAGTTGCAACTCCAATTAGCCATAACTTAGATACAAAAGTAGTAAATGATTACAAAAATATTTATATTATAATAGGCTTATCTGCTATTACTCTATATGTAATAAAGATATGGACGGGTTAAGATTTTAATAACCAAGTTGATGCATAGTAATGGGTTTTTATGAAGTGATTTGTAGCTATTTTATTAGTTGTGATTTTTTCATTGAACACTGAATTACAAAAACGCATATAACAAAAAATTTATAATTTAATTGCATTTATTATATATAATCACTAATGTGTAGTAATAAAAAAATATGTAATAATTTAGCGCTTTGTATAAGAAACAAAAATTATATTCCGTCAGGAAAATATGTCAATGTATTCAGTAAACTAAACAAAATACAACATGATTCTTAGCTAGTGATAATCACTTAACTAATTAATTCTGTGATATACAGAACATCTGCTGAGTAGATAATATTATAAGTTATATTTAGTATTTTAAATATTTATGAAATAATTCTATTACAAATAAAATGAAATTATTTTGTTAAATCGTCAGCATCTTAAATATCCATTATATTGGTTGTTTTACGAGTTCCAAGGTTTCCATTCCATACCATCTGGAAGTTTTCTTTCAACTTTTCCTTTTCCTACTTCTGACCAATTAGTGCTCAGTACTGTACCACCAGACTCTTGCTATTTTCAGAAACAGTGTAACATTAATATTTGATATTAACTATAATTATAATTTTACAGACTATTTCCAAATAAATACTCACAAAGGATTTATTCATTGCTCGCCTAACTTCATCAGAGCCACTACCATAAATCTTTTGAAACAAAGCATTTAAAGCTGCTTCGCCTTGTGGCTTCTCCTCTGCTTCTTGCTTATCAATATCTTTTTCTACTTTATTCCAATCTGGAGATTTCTTACAAGAACTAGGATACTTTGGTGGCTGGTTACTAGCTTGTAGAATTTCTTAAAGTGTAACATTTTCATTTCAATGTTAATTTGTAGGAAACATTTCATGATTAATATCAATATTTCCAATTTAAATTTATTTTTGTTTTATTAATTTAAATTTGAAACAGATGATAATAAATGTTATAACTGGTTTACCTTGAGGTATGGGTTGCGCTACAGTTTGTGCACGTGGATTCCCTTCTAAGACACTAAACCTAATCCCCTCTTGTTTCTTCAATTTGATTTCTATTTTTGATGGAAACACTTTATATGAACACTGTTCTGGTACTATGGAATGAGCTAAATCTAACTCCAAACTATAATCATTTCCCGATGGTAGAATAGCTGATACACTTAACTAAAAATGAACAAGGTTTTATAAATAAGTTTCATTCGAATAATCATTAAATGAAATAAACATTAAAGAAAAATACATATGTTTATTTATATTGTCGAATAACATATTTACCGAGTTTGTGTCATAAGCGACTTTAACATTTTTTGTATTCTTTGCGAGAATAGTGACTATAACGTGTGTCTCCGTTTGATACCAGTCGTACCTTGTTTTGGGAACTGACGTCTGTAAAAATCCAAAATTTTGATCAGATATAGAACGGCACTTAATGATTATTTTCCTTCGCCATATTTCAGCTGCGAAACTTACTGGGTTACTATCTTTTTGTGTAGTATTCTCTTCACTGGCCATTGTACCGTTTTCCTTATAATTAATAGAGGCTTAAACCATTCCAAATATTTGACACAAAAATTATTTTCGAGTATACCTCACTTCTCGAAAGTTCATATAGATTTCATGCATAGCAGGAGCGTAACAAGTGACACTGACTTCGAGATAACACGGATTGTAAATTATCTTATCTTATTCCAAATTTTGTTGAAATATATGAAACATCAGGTTAATGAACGAACATCATTAGCAAATTATAAAACACAATTCAATGTATAACAATCAGATCTACCTTTCAAAGAAACTATACGATACTTACCATTGTAAATTACTAAAATTCAACTTCTATTTCCGCTATGTCGATTGAGAATGCGCCAACTTCCGGTAATGCTTGAATGTTTGGAAAACTGTTTCAAAATGTGGTTTCAATGCATTTAATGAAAGATTGAAGTACATAGAATTTTCGTGAGAAATGAAACGACCAATTGAAGGAATTATCGAAGACGTAATTATAGCGCCGGATAAGGTTCAACCAATTATTGGTATTAAGCGCATATTCTTTCAAAAATCTCTTTACGCTTAAGGCAACTCGTGTTCTGTACTTTTTTTAATGATCAACGGATTTAAAAATAACGTAATTTTCGGATAATTCGTACTAACTTGTTTTGTATCTTTTGATTCTTCTTCTGTATATTCATTTTGAAATTGAAGAGATAATATATTTGATAGTAATTGTCAAGGTTTGATAAGTAAGTGTATTTGCAGTTAATTTTCAAAATGGAGAACTCAAAGATGGTGAGGCTAAAAAAATGTCGTGCGGCTTATTCTATGACGAGCGGAAAAGGAAAACCATGTTGGCCCTATCAAATGGACAAATCGTTTATAAAGGTTATAAACCCAACATGGACCAAGACTTGATGCGTACTATGCTTGTACTTCACAACAAAAGAACAGGAAAAGTTAGATTGGTTCAAGCCGAACGATGGCAAGTGACTCCAATATTAGACAAGAAATTGGAGACAGATAATACAGCTACTATTGATGAAAAGATTTCTATGTTAAACAAACAATTTGGTTCGAAGAAGGTAAAACGCAGAACAGAACAGTTAGAGAAAATGAAAGTAAATGTGGACTCTGTTAAGGAACAATTAGAACAGACAATATTGAGTAAGAATTTTTTTTAATACTACATTCATTAAGTTAACTAATGATACTTTACTTATACACTTATTCTTTTTACAGATGTTGAAATTGATAAATCTGATTTATCAATACAATTACCGCACAATGAATACATTACAAATACTGCTTTGCCAGAATGTAATAGGGAAGCTATTGATGTAAAAGATGTTTATAATATACATCATATTATACCAGAAAGTAAATTAGAAACACTATATGATGCAGCTACAGAAATTGTGGAAGAAGATAATAATAGTTTAGAAGGGTAAATTTACTATTGTAAATTAGTGTATTTTTTCATTACTATTTGCAGAAATTTCATTGTAAATTAAATGTATTATTATGTTATATTTAGGAAAACAAAGTTTTTTAATAGGACGGTGAAGTTCTTGCGGACAGATCCAGATAGAGTCAAGAAGACAGCAATACTATTTTATATGCAAGCAGTTGCAAAATGGTTAAATATGCCAATGAAAGATGCTAAGAAACGAGGTATTGAAGTTTGTCCACTCTCGCAAGAAGTGAATTCACATGTAATAGACACATATAGTGTAGTGAGTTCCCATGGAAGGTAAGTACATGAAAAAACATAGTACAGGAATTTGTAAAGGAACGAATATTTAATCAATTCAAGTAATAAATTAATTTACAGGTTGAGGCCAGCCAGTGTCAAAGATAAAGGTGTGATACACTGTATGATTTTGGCTTTGACAATTTGTAACTTTATATTAGACATAGAATTATTTGCAACAATATTTAGTCACAGGATGAGTATAAAGAAATTAACAGATCTCGCTAGGATTATTGGTGCTTTACCAACTAAGGAAGATAAGAAAATTATTACTTTAAAAGTTCCATTGCCACCACCAGCGGCCGTTACAAAAAGGGGAAAGAAGAAATAGTCATAAGAGGAGTACAATTTACAATATAATATAGTTGTACAAATAAAATATATGTTTAAATATTAAGATACTTTTTGATATCATAGAAAAAGAATTTATACATTAAAGCTACATTTATTTTGAAATAAGTAATTATTGTTATATATAATTAATGAATAAGGATATCTTAAGAATTATGTTTTAATGAATTAGTTGATTATTCTTTCAACATTGATAATATTGAATTTTATTAAGTAGACTCAGCAAAAAGATTACTAAATAAATGAGGACAAATTAATAATTATAATAATAATAACCGATATTACATAGATACAATGATATAAATAATTTTATATTGCTTTGGCGAAAATAACTTAAGAAGAAAATTGAAAATTGTATCCAGTAAACAATTTTTTGTACAAATGTTAAATATTAATCACATTTATTTTATATGATAACGCATGGCGATCATCAGATGTATAAATACATTTTCGAATATATACAATCCTTTATTGATTTCCAGATCTTGAGTAATTCATATGCTTCATATAATTCATACTTGTTCTTAACACCGCAATTTTAATATAGCATCTACAATTTCTTCGCAGAAGTAAGTCAAACTAATAATTTATAAATAATAATATTCAAAACAATCAGTCTCCTACATATCCACTGAAGATAAAGGTATAAAAACTTTGACTTTTCCTCGTTATTAAAATAAAATTTAAATGAAGCTTTTATTTATTTAGAAAACAAAAACTGAAAGAAGAAGATTAAAATGAATATATTCAAGTGCAAGAAAGAAAGGATCCAGTGAGAATAACAATGGGATCACAAAGAGAAAGCAAAACGAAGATAATAATTACATTCGGATAATGTTTGAGAAACTTAACGAGTGTAGTTTTGAAAAGGGGGATTCAAATTAGTGATTAAATTATTTTAGACTGATCTTAGAGCGTCTATTGTGGTTAACGGAGGGTAAGGTCGAGGAAACTGGCACGTTGGCCGGCCCTGAGCGACTCCCCGCAATGTGGGTCGTCGTCTAACTGTTCCACGTACCGTTCCGTCGACTCGGTGCCGTCCATTAGTCAGATACAACTCCTTCTCTTTCTCACCTCCGTCGTCGGTAGCCGAGAAACGACGGAGCATCTCGCCTCACCTCTTCCTTCCTCATTCTATCGGCAGCCGCTACATACAGAGGAATCTTTCTCTAATCGATACATCATGGAAACCTTAGAAAGTTTGTCCCTGTTCCTTTTTCGCGTTTAATGGGCGGAAGTTAGAATCCCGATGCAGATAAACATAATATTATAAATACCTCTGAATAAATAATAACAAAAATATTTTTAACTTTTAAACTGATAAATAGGAAACATTTTATTTACCGAAACTTCGTCAAGAAATCGTTAAAGAAAAATGCAAAGGCAAATTAAAGAGGTACAAGAACAACAAGTGACTTTACAATGAGATTGATGTAATAGCAACACACACGACTTCATTTTCAGGCTGTACAAAAGGAGGCATTGAAGTCTCCGAAATCTCGCAAATAATTGTAAACATTCTGCTTGTTATTGGAGCAAATTGCAAGTACATTATGGCCGCATACATTTTTATGCACAATTCAATAAGGAGAATTCATTTCCTTTATTAAAGATTCAATTGAGTTAAAAGTAAAATCAAAATATTTAAAGTAATGCCAGAGACACAGAAAATAATAATAAGTTTAACGTTATACTTTAAAAAACGTAGAGCAAACTTGAATTTTCTTTAATTCAGTTTAAATGGACAATAAACGTTTTGTAGATCTTTTATTTTCATAGTGAACGAAACGTGCAATAAGAAAATTGATGAAACTTTTTGTCTTACTCACGGCCAAGTGTGTAACGCTGCTTATGCAAAAGGTATCGAAAGTTTTTCCAATGGGCTGCCCATTTCACGAAATTAGATCCTATTAAAATTCAACAGCGTACTTTCATTCTGTGCAGAGTGACGTCGTCGATGGGAGAATCTTCCTGAAACATCTTTTTCTTTCGTCGGAATTTCCTCTTGCTCTTGTATCATTTGGCTCGCGGGCCTCTTCCACCTCTTCGCCCTCTCGCCGTCACCTCGTCGCCTTCCTGCTACCACCTGGTTGTCGAAGCACCTCAGTCGACGTGTGACCTTCTATCAGGGCTACGGGGCACCGTGGACACGTCACGCGTTCAATTGTCTTTCTCGTGGCCGCGGTTCGATTATCTGTCTTCGCGAGGAAAAGAACCGAGGGTGTGCGAAAGAGAGTTCGCATGGGGCTGTGAGTGATCAGGATTCCTCGTCGCAGCTAGCGTCGTTCCCTCAGCGACTGGAGAACAGAGTTTGTTGACTTTGAATTCGTCGTTTGGTCAAGGTAATTTGTTCTTTGTTAGTTGAGAAATAAATTGATGTTCAGGATTATTGGAAATTAGAATGCACTGCATTAGTTTTCATTCTGTTGCAAATCCCTAATATGCTAACGAAACTTTTCATATTCTTACTTAATCTACAGGTAGTTGAAAATGAATGTAATTCCATTTGGAATGACACATGATTTTACCATTTTTAGTAGTATTTTTATTAAACTATTAAATTTGTTGGTACGCATCAGCTGATTAGTTACATAAACGAAGATTTAAGCATAAATTAGAAAAAATTGTATTTAGAAAGGTCGTGAAAAAATGCATTGCACCATAAAGTACCATTATGTGGCTTTGAAAAATATCTCTCACCAAGTATTTTTTTCCATTCTTTCCTTTATGATGTATAGTGAAAAAATCATGCTTTGAGTTAAAGTCGCATCAGTACTGTTACTGAAATGATTCTATTTAATTCCATTAATTAAGATTAATTTTAATCAATGTAGCACAGTTTTGTAGCTCAAAATAGTGTACTCCCAAAATCAGGCGGAACGATTCGAATATTGTTACCCATGAGTACTGCCGATAAGGATATCGCGGCTTCCCGTCAACGTTCAATTAGAATATTCTGCAATCGTTGTACCGTTATAATTAGGCCGAGTTTGCGCCGCATTAAAAGTCTCAAACTGTTCAGTGAAATAGCATAAAAACATGGGCGATAAGCGCCATCCCGGCCGTGTTAAAAATTGAATCTGGAACCGGTTGCTTGTTCCGATTTGCATCGGTCGCCGGGCATCCCTTAATTGAGAAAAGAAAGCAAACGCCAGCCGTTAGAGTAAAAGAAGAGAACGAGGATTCGACCACACTCTCTTCCCGATAGAAGTAACGTTCTGATTTCATTTCTTTATTTTGAAACAGAAAAGAAAGGTGCTGTTAATTGCTGGCTACTCGTCTCCTTCTTCCTACACAGAAATAGATATTGGGTTGACGCAAAAATTTTGACGTTTTTTTTGCACGTGGTTAACAAAAGAATCTTTTTCTTTGAAACAAATAACATCTGTTTTTAAACTATTATAACGCGTATAAAGGACACTTCTTTTTTCGTTTTAATTAGTTTTGGTTTAGCTAGCGAACAGTTGAGAACTTTTCTTTTTATTTCTTATAAACAGACGTCAAAACTTTTGTATCGAACCAATACTTACTAGCGTCAAAGACAAGACGGGGGGCAAGAATAAATTGTATAAAATGTAGTTCTGTCGTATTAATAAAATTCAAATATTTCGGGGAATGAGGTCGAGAGAATTTCTGAGCGGTCGAGGATTCTTTCCGTGGTGTTGGTCACGGAAAAGCGGATGATTCATGACCCTGTACCCGAAACAGCTCTCGAGGATGAAACCCCGAAACCGAGAGGTAGAAGTAGGTCATCGGCGAACATCACACACGAAACAGAAATGTTTCGTGTGCCAGTCACCGAGCTAGGAATCACCGTGCCGGTCACGGTCACGAACATCCTAGCCACGAATATTATGGTCACGGACAGCGAAAGACCTTGGACGATTTCATGGTCCTCGAGAGTTGCGTTGGATTGTATCATGAGGCCGTAGCGTTTCTTCCGGAATATCTTTTTATGATGTTATAATGTTTGTGTTGTATATACGTACTGTTCGACAACTTTTCCTTTTATGAATTGTATTCATTATAATATTATTAGACGTATTATGGATTAATTATGAAACGTACAACGTATTAAGAAATTTCTAATATCAAGTGAAAATTTAGTGTCACTGTAATTAAAATTATCACTTTTGAATCGTAGAATCGCTGAGAGAATCTTCTTTGTAGCTAGCTGGATTATTTACATTCACTTTGAAAGTATTTATCTCAATAAGTGTAAGAATTCCCACGTAGCAGAAGATAAAAAGCTGTAGAAGAATATAAAATATTCAACATAAATCCAAAGCCAAAGCGAGTGAATTTTATTTTTAATAAAAGAATGCTACGGATTTATGATACAACCCAATACGTTCAAGTTGATGGATGTGCCCGAGTTTTCTCTTCTTGTCAACCCACGTAAACAAAATCTGTTTGATTTTGCTTGATAAGATACTTCTGCAATTAGTCCTATTCTATGGCAGTAGAACTACCAAGCACTTAAACTAACTTTCAAAGAAGCATCTATACCTTTTTAATAAGTACAAAGAAAGAAATCAGGTATGGGTCATTGCGACCCATCTGATAGTTCTAGTGTTAATTCATTTTTAACTCCACCATCAATGATATTTGTTTCTTTTATCAATATATTTAGAGAAATTCCCATTATCCCAGGATTTAAGTTCAAGGTCAAACAAAACAAGTACCAATGAAGACCAACTAAACCAAAGGACATTTAAGCACAACAGATAACAGTACACGACCATCGCGTGTCTTTCAATCTCAAATCCTGAAAGAGTACCCGTTTATAAACATTTGCCAGGCATCATCATGAAAACGTCTTTCGGCGAAACTCTTTTCAATGACAAAGCGGAATTTCCTCTCGATCATGTGTCGCGTCTTGTCTTCACCGTGACAACGAAAGCTCCCTCGAAAGTGCGAGTAACGAAATGCTAATGCCAAATACAGCAATCTCGATTGCGGCGGAGCCTCGACAAAGGCTCCTGGAATGCCATGTGAGAGAGCCAGAAACGAGAGGAAGCCAATCGGCGAACGTGAGGAAGAAGGAGAGAACGAAAGAGACCCGTTACGCGTTGGAACCCGATTCCGCTTGATGAAAGATGTAGCAGCTTGTCCTTGTTTATCATTCCATTGTAGCAATGCGATGCGATGGCTCTCCACAATTAGGAGAGCCCGTTAATTACGGACAGTGGCTCGAACGCCTTAAAGACCCCGCAATTACATCGCGGACAATGAACGGTAATTGCCGGGAACTGAGAGTTTCGGTTTTACACGCGATCGACGAACTTGATTCCCGTACTTGCTAATTGGATCGTTTACATCTCGAAGTATTTATGAGGTGTTAGAGAATGATTCGAAATTTGTAGAGTAGAAAGCTCATCGTTTTAAGCCTTGGCCACTAAGAAAACTGGGATGCCAGCTAGAACGGCCCATTCTGGACTTTTTGCTTTATATTATATTTTTCTTATGAGGTATTGTATATTACTTAGGTTGTTTGGCATTTTGAATGTTAATAAATTGATACAATGATCCAGAGATAATAATAAGTAAATAAATAAAAATGTCTTCTAAAAGTTCAAGATGTAATTATTATACAAATTAGTAGTTAAGTTTAGAAAGTTTCTGGAGAAAAATAGTAAAATTTTGAGTTTGATTTTCACTTTGAATTAATTTGGAATGGCTTGATGCAAAAGCCGCTGACGCGTTTACAGTAACTTTATTTATGGCACGACAAGACAAATCCGGTGGGCGTACTATAAAACGTGCACGTATCCCGCATACACGTCCGTGACCATGTCCAGATATATTCAATGTAGGACGCAAGGGAGGATCGTACTCCTTTCCGGCCCCTTTTACTTGCCCGCCTGATAAACTCGTAGCCCAGAAAAACGAGGCACGTGAACACTCAGCATAAAGCTGTATATGAATGTATGTAATATGAACTGATCTAAATAATTATACAGTTTTATTGATATTATATTTTAAAATACTGTATGGTACGGACTGAGACTACAATAAAATGACCTACAAATGACCTTGGTTGCAAAGGTTTACGTTTATATAGAAAACGATTGAATGCTACAATGTTCTTGTGATTTAAAATTATCTGTAGCTAGATATATAAATACTTTTTTCTTTAAATTATTAATTACGTCATCAATAGTAATGTAAATCTAGTATGCATATAAAATACTTCATCATGTGCATAAATAACTGTATTGTATGTTTCATGAGTGATATATTTTTTTTTTTATTTATGCAATGCTTTTTTAGATATGGAGAGAACAATGCAGTTCAATTTTTTGGCACTGGTGCTCGCTATAATCTACGTGGCAAGTGCATCCTCGGAGTACCTGATGGGTGGCCACATAGATAATAATCCATCGAAGTCTCTGCTGGAAGAGATTGAATCTTCTCCGGCTTTGGCGAGAACGTCGCAGCTGGATGACCTTGACCTGGATCTTGACGCTGAGGAGAGCACTGTTGCCTTGTCGACAACGAATGAAGAAGACGCTCTGCGTTATCACCTTCCGTACCCTTTCGCCTTCAACGGTGGTAGACCGTTTTCGCTGGAAAAGGATCCAATTACCGGGAAGATCGACTTTGAAAAAGCGCCGCCTGTAAAAGCTTTAAATTATACTACTCGTTACCAGGACCATGTAAAAGACGACGAACGGAATAACAAAGATTTCTCAAAGGAGCCTGCTACTTATTTGAACAAGAAGCTTGAGAACAAGGAGACAGTGGATGTCAGTCCTAATGAGATCAATCCGTATTCGCCAAATTTTCATGATTTTCTCAATCTTCCCATTCACTATTCGTCTGAAGTATATGGTAAAGACAAGTATCCATTGATATCCAGTTCATATGCAAACACTAAGGTCCAAAGCGGTTCGAACAGCTATAGTACCTACAATCATAAACCTTATCATGGAGAAACTGTTCTCTATTATCCAACTAGAAAACCGTATGTACCGAAGACTACAACAACAACAATGGCACCTAGCACAACAGTGTTATCTACTATTCCTAGTACTACCACTACTACAACCGCCAGGCCTACACCTACAACTACTACTACTACCACCACTACTACAACAACCCTTCCACCTCCACGTACCACTGCTGCCACATCCACAAAGGCACCTGTTGTAACTACTTGGAAGCCTCCAATTACTACTCCTAAGCGATTTATGGATCATTTAGATGACTACGAAGACATTCTACCAATAGAGAAGTTGCAAGCTTCTGTATATAATAACAATCAGCAGGGACAAAATAATATAGTTCATAATGAAGATCCGCAGAAACCAATTATGCATCACGATGAATACATTGATGCTTACGAGGATTATGAAATCGGCGAAGAGGATATGAAGGATTATGCCCCGGTGAAGGAATCGACTAATGAAATCGTTAAAACTAGCACATTACCTATTACACCTCCTCCTGTTAGTAATGTAATGACGACTGCTGGGACACCAGAGGCTACAACAGTTACTACAACAACTACCACTGCACCATCATCATCGATAGCATCTTCTGTTTTTACAGCTTCTTCGCTAATCCCTCAAGAAAGTACATACCAAAGTAATTCTTTAGCATTTCAACCGCGACCACAACGTCCAGTGACTTCAATGCCTTTGGACAAGGATCCTAGACTCCCAATAACTTTTGAAAATGATCATAGAAGACAAGGTGTGGCCGATAATGTAATTATGAACCAAGGTTACAGACCAAGTACAATCATTAATCAAAGACCAAATGGTTTGGGTGGAATTTTAGTAGAGAGTACCAGTAACATTGTCATACCACCGGATCAGGACACGGTGTCTTTTGTTCTTGGTAATAGACAGAATGTAGAAGGTGGATACTATTCATTGGGCACAGCAATTGGAGAGAATCTTTATGGTGGTTCGACTGGAATCGATTCTTCTTTTAGACCTCAGTATGGCACACCAATCGATAAGAGTAACTATGATGGACAAGGTCATCAGGGAACAATTGGATTACCTTCGGTATCTATTTTAGATAATAATCCTATTTATGCTGCTCAAACGTGGAGACAACCAAATCCTTCTGTTACCCAAAAAACTAACAATGAAATAGAGCCATCTAAAACTCAAGGTACGCTTGTTAAAGGTACAGTGCTTTTAGAACAGGCGGATGATAAAAAAGATGATAAAGACGTTAATTACGTAGTTTTTCCTAAAGACGAACCCAAACAGCCTGTTGAAGAGCACATCGTTGTTATAAACGAAGCTGATGGGACTATACACGAGATTACACCTTCTTCTACCACAAACAAACCTGTTAGGGTGGATTTACCTATGCCCGATGAAGAACATTTGCCACAGCTTTCAGAGAACTTAACTCCACCGGCGGAAAGACCAAGACCTCCACCACAGTTTTATTACCATTATCATCATGGAGGTACCACGAGACCCGACCATCCAAGACCGCAGAGACTACCATTACCACCTCGTGGAAAACAGCCAATGCCTTCTCCTCCAGACCTGGGAATAAGAAGACGACCTTATCCTGACTCCAATTTGCCAAACATTCTGCCACAGTTCAGACCCAATGCAAAAACATCTCATGGACACCGCGGTTCAGAATCTATCGGCACTATTCCTGCTGGTCAAGTTTATCCCACAAGAGTAAGGCCACCTGTACAGGTTCATTCTCCTACAAGAAGACCTTTACCTCCACCACCATCTTATCTTCAGAGATTGAATCCTCCACCACCACCAATTCACGCACTTAGAGTTGCAGCAGGTGCAGCTTCCACAAAATCTGAGAGCGTTGTTTCTCCTAGGGATCCAGAGTCTACGGTCAAGAGATTTCGTCTCCCTTCGGTCCCAGCCACTTCTAGAGGAGAGGAAGAAGTCAAATCACTTCAGAGACTGTCCAGCCAAAAATTGCGCTTGGAAGAGGAGGAGAGATCAGATCGTTACTCAGAAGAACCCCCGCAAGTGCCACCCAGACCTCTTTTATATCCAAAACGTAGGACGGCGGAACCGTCACATGTAACCACCCTTCAAATGATTCAGCAACATGGAACATTCGAGGAAGACAACGCGGAGACAAACCTGCAATCTAACAGTCCAAGCGCAAACGATGAATCAGAAGAGATTGTGACCGATCAAGAGGCGAACAGAAGGAAGTTCGACACCCGGAAAACAATGCCCGACCCTCCAGTTTACGTAGTGTATCCTGTGAACACTGCAGTCAATATACATCCAGATGATTCTAGAGAAAAAGATGAAAGTGTGGTAGTAGGAACGCGTGGTCCTCACAGACCTCTGCCGCCAGAAACGCTTCTCCAGGATAATGAAGATCAAGATATAGTTGAAGAGCAAAGTCCTCCGATTCATAATTTGTTCAGTGGACGACCAGTGGTGTCTGATTTTCCTTATCCCTTAGAACGCCCTGACCCTTCTGTTCTTACGAATGGAATGATGGAGACGCCTATACTGGTGCCCAATGATCAGCGTCAAGAGGAAGAACCTGTGAAAGAGAACAGCGAAGAAAAGGATGACAAAGACTCTAGCGTAAATGTTATACCCTATTTACAAGACTTTGTTCCTTTCCCAGCAAGGAAGAATGATGTCATTTCAGCGACTCTTCATAGGCTGCCATCGTTGCCATCTTCTACGCCGATCGCTTATGTCTATACGCCAACAGCACACGCCTCTCATCGTCTTGATGTAGACGTACGAGATGAAGAAAGTTCTAAAACTGAAAGTAACGAACAGAAACCTGTTTTGTTGCCTTCGCAACAACCGTCCAGTTCATCCAGTTCAGCACCCTCTCCGCAAAATTTCATGGCACCATTCGTCGCTAGTGTCAGCGCTGAAGCACCCACTAAGAACGGCTGGAGTGTTGTTGTTGTGGAACCTACTCTAAATAGAAAATCTGATGAAGAGCATGATTCTTCAGAAGACACTTCTAACGCAGAAGAGACGCAGACAGAGAAAAATGAATTTGACGCTGAGAACTTCAAACCACAGTTGTTTGGTGGATTCAAACCAATTTATGAGTTTCCTACAGAAGACTTAGACAGGTCAGAACGAAGGGAGTCCACTGGTGCAGATTCAGAGGTAGGAGTACAGGAGTCTGCTGGTCCAATCGTTTGATGAAGGAATAGGTTTAATGGCTAGAAAATATGTTATTTAAATGAGAATGTCGTAGTTTCGAGAGTTTTGTTAATTGTCATGACGTTCTTTTTGGCATTACTAGTCTCTTTGGCTCAGAAAGTAAGGTTTTCATAAACTTTGTAAACAATTTCTGAAGGACAAGGGTTTGCATTAATATACATAATGTATGAAGGGTAATGCTAACTGGAACGTCGCAAAAAAGAAAGAAAAAAACTAAATATCTCGAAACTTTGAACGTTGGTGATTGGGAAGGTTTGTTGCTTCATGGGGGGATCAAAGTTAACTATACAAATTTGAATATTCAAATAATTTTTTATGAATTGAACAGATCGTACTGGGTGGGTAGGATTAAATGCAACATAGTGCAAGTCATTCGCTTAGACTGAATATTAAATTGGTTAATAGAATTAAACATGTAATTTTATATAAGGCAGAATAATAATTATAAGTTATATGCAATGCTGTGTGAAATATTCATCAGCTACACTTGCACCACTTTGCATGTAATCGTTTTAAACATAATTACAAGAAATCATTATATTTATATTAATTTATCTATTTTTTTAATCATAGATTTTATAATAATTTATAAAATATCATCAGAATACACATCGTCATTTTTTGTACATGTCAATACGTATTTATACATTACGCATTTTCGCATAGTCACAGTTGTTGAATGAACGGTGTACATTAAACTATTTATTTTATCGCAAACTTGTTGTCGTAATTAAAACTGTCGTTAATAATTGCACTTATATCATAAGTATTCATGCAATAAATCATTCTTAAATTATTTACTTTGTGTTCATTTTATTTATACTAATGCCCTTTTAAATGCTCCACATTTTTTTAAATAATATTTAATACAAAAAATAAATGCTTTTTTATTATATACTATCATTGTTATAATAACAATATATCTATTTGTAAAATTACAAATATCGCGTTCTTATATAAATTTCTTACATAATACTGTAGTTTGACAAGAATTTAAATAACTACCTCTAAGGAAGACTAAACATGAACGATTCATTCTTGGTTTTCTTATGATATGTAAAGTATGAAAAATAAAAAAAATATTTATTTAATAAATTAATTCCCAGAATTGCATTGGATACCAGTCCCATATAACGAAGATCGTATCAGGTAATCCTTACTTAACAAGTTTTCTAACGTATAATAAATACTTTTATAAAAATGGATCTCTATCTAGTATCATCAATTACATAAACCTAGCATAAGTGTGTAATTATTCTTAAAGAAAACAATTCTTGCTATGTATGAAATCATACTATATGAATTATACAAACTATATCAAAACTATATGAATTATACAAACTATATTGTCTGTTTACCTGTGAACGAAATGTCCTTCTGCCGATTGCCAAATAATCGTAGATCCAGTTTCAACACAACGATACCTTTTTCAACTTCATGTAAGCGAATGCGTTTTTGGATTGGTCCACATGAATCCCTACTGTCCCTCATTATATCTGCAACCCTTATTTCTGCTCGACCCAAAAATTCTGTAAGAAGTAACAATTAATATGTTAAATGATTCTTAATTGTGTTTTCTGAATAATTATAAAATTATCTTTACCGTCAGGACTATAATAGCCTTTATCAAATACTGTGATACAGAGAGTGTCTTCAAGTACATCCTTCACTTGAAATTGCATTGAGGCATCCCATAAAGGACAATCTGTTCCTGACACAACACCTGTTCTCTCTTCTTGTGAACCCATACTTACTTTACAGAATGTATTGCACTTTCCTAAAAAAATTCTTTCATTAATTTTTTCTCCTTGAATTTATATGCAATATAAGTCACGTGATACATAATAGCCTGATTTTAATGTTATTTGAAGATCATATACCCAATAGCCTTTTACTTTATTCACACACCAAAAATATCCAGGCTCTTCGTTCTCGCGACTTATTTTTCATTAAATTGTATAATATAAAAGATATTATGTTAATAGAAATCATTTAATGTTAAGGAATGCATAATTACATGTGCAAAACACCATACGCATATTGTTAAGTTCAAAGTTAGTGTATCATAACAGTGTTACTGGAATTATTAATTATTAATTTAATATTATTAAATACTACCATTAACTACAATCTCAATACAAATTACAATGCATTATTGTTAACTTCAAATGTTGCAGAAATGGGGAAGCAAGCTATTTCAGCATCAGCTTGAATGTTAAATCGCAAACGGCATGCAAGCAGAATATTTTACCTTTCTTGGATATTATAATATCTTCAGCTTCCACAACTACTAACCAAAGTTTACCCTGAGGTGGTCTCCTGCGAACTATAATCATGCCAGATACTTGTTAGTAGGAAAATATATTATACAGTTAGAAAGTGATGATATGAATGTAGAAATTTTCGACGATATTCCTTTTGGTAAATAAGTCTGCTCTGCTTCGTTTTATAACATGCTAGTAGAAGAAAGAATTAAAGATACCAAACAACTATAGACAAGCGGGAAGCACATGCAGGTAGAAGAAACACCTCAAGCACATACGTTTGCTTACCAGGTGTTGCCTTTAAATTGAAACCTTGAAGTACTGTAACGAGAATTCTGCCACACGCTCCAAACTGTGCCAGTTCTGTTTACTCACACATAATACATGTTATTATATGCCAAATTAATTATAATTAAATGCTGATAAATAATGGAACATATAATTCTTAGTACACCTTACATTACAATTGAAAAAGTCGTCATTATAAAATAAGGACGTATGATACCAAGGAAACCACAATGTCACAAACGATAATATGTATAAATTAGAAAAAAAAGAATAAAACTCACTTGATCTCTGCCTTTGTAAACGAGTCTTCTCATTTTCCAAAAATTTCTTTCTTGCTTCTGTAATTCTTCTAGTCCATAAAGAACATTCACCTGACGACGGGGCTAATAATATTATTGGTTTCTTCTGGTCTCTTAACCTGAGTATTTTTGTTGAGTTTTCTGTACCCTCTCCCCAACTTAAACTATTAACACTTCCATTTGTATCTGAGTCTCCTAAGAACGACAATTCATTCAGAAATATTGGCTGTAAAATAAAAACACCTTAGTGAACATACTCATATTACTAAATTTATCACTAATGGTGGTATCAAATACCTTCCTATACATCTTAAACTTTTGGTGTTCATTTCTCTCAAATGAGAATTGTTGTCCACTGGGGAAAGATTTTTTTGGAAGTGTTGGTTGAGCAAATAACAAAAAATCATTTGTGAGAAATCCAACAAGTTCCTTCCCACTTTTTGCCTAATATAAATGTGCATGTTAAACAAATTTTGATGATTTAAAAAAATGTATCATCTGTTTTATAGTACCTTATGAAGGATGCCGAAGTGAAGAAGTTTTCGCGGACCTAAGGAATTAGTTAAAGAATTAAAAATAAGTTGCTCTTCCAGACCATCACAGGCCACATGAGTTTGTAACCATTCTAATCTATCGCTGTTCTCTTTTTCTCTAACTCCTTCGTTCACCTGAGTACAAAATTCTTCCGCTTTAGCTAATGCTTCTTGAAGGTATTGTCTGTCTGGATGTTCAACCGAAGTGTGTTCTAAAATCTAAAATGATTATGATAAACATGAGTAAAATAAAATATTAAATAAAAATTAATGTTACTAGAAGATAGATTACTTTGCCAATAATAAGAGGATACTTTGTTATCCTTTGCATAGGCTTTATTAAAAATGAACTTAAAGGCATTCCTTTTGTACGGGGGTCTTGTTGACAAGTATGTGCCACTTTAACAAATTCTGGCACTGTTTCGGTTAGTCGTTGAAGATATACAGCGGCAGATATTTGACAACTACAGAATCTGATATAAGCTGACATTCGGGGTATCTAGAATACATAATGAATGTTAACAAAAATACAGAACTGTAATATAAAAATAAATTATGTTTACATTTTCACACAAAATGTCTCCAATCATTCTTACAACTTCCCCTTCACTGTTATCTCTTCGTATTCTCAACGTTCTGAAAAAGTATTAAGTAAATAAATTTAATCAAAGTTATTATTATCATATTAATGATTTATTAAAAACTAACTACCTTAAAAAGTTTTCATTACAGGCAATAATATCTCTCCAATTAACAAATATTTTGTCCACCTCATCTACAGTCAAAACCAAGCTCTCAATAAGAGGTTTTTCAAATACCTATAAACAGATTTTATTCTTTACCTTCTTTGTTACGGATATACAGATATAATTATACAACACAACAATCAAGTACCTCATGAACAAGTCTCATATCTTCTATATATGCTTGTTCAGTTGTAATAAGTTCTTTGATATATTCTTGACGCTTTCTTTCTATGGCATCCAATCCAAATGTTAGGTCAGTTGTCATCTCATTTGCTACACATAAAATGTATGCAAAAATTGTTTATTGTACTTTTATTGCTCCTTATCTGTGCTTTACTATCTTTAAATAAAAAAGGGGAGTAATAAACAAATTACTTAGAACATGATAATTTTAAAAGATGAAGGTTTTCAGAATCGAACATAATAGAAGAAAAATGAAAATGTTAGTTCAAAATAATTTTGTTAACATTTAAATTAGTAGTTAGGTATCGCCAAATAATAGAGAGTCGCTATACACAACGATACTTTACAACGGACAGATACTTTATTTCAATCAGCAGTTTTGCGAACACGTTTTTATATGTATGGATATGTGTACATATGTATAAGAACGGCATGTATATGCATACGTGTAAAGATCCAGAGTATATTCACATAAAGTGTGAACGAAATCTGTTAATAAATACACAGCGATCTGAACTTGTTCACACCCGTACAGTGTCCTTCACTCATGAATAGATCACACACAATTGAGATTCGTAATGAGATTCGATATTACAACAAACAAACAATATGGATATTTTTGCAAATAGTAACAATCTTAAGGATTAGCATTACACAAGTATTTCATCTAAGTATATAACCAGTTGCATAACTTGCTTTACACAATTATCAACATGTTTAGATAAAGATTACAAGATTACGGGCGCATCTAGAATATTTAATATTAAGCACACAATGTTTTCTCATAGGACCAGGCATATTTATACACCTTTCTTGCAAAAACTCATATAGAACGTGTAAAAGGATCGACCAGTGTATAAATATGCTGGTCTACTGTGCGCTTGGTTCTTGCAGTTTTTCGAAACTAGATATTCCATCAAGTTCCTGATATATTTAATGGAATGAACTCTAACTGAACACAAAAATGTACACTAACTCATTCATTCTACTAAATAGAGTAAAAGATTTCAATAAAAAATTTAACACTTAAAAAAGAACAGAGTATTGAAACAATTTATAGTCTTATCAATAAGACTCAGTGGATTTCAACAGAAACGATAAATTAGGTCAATGATAATCCTATAAAACAATAACATGATTATTTAACACAATGATGATTTAAGTATTCCAGTATCGGGATTCATTATATTATGTCCATAAACATAGAGAATAAAAGTAAAAAGAAGTCAGCTATTAAACATAACACGATAAGATACCCTACGTTTAGTTAATTATAAACTACCATATTCAGGAATAGATTGATGGAAAAGCTGGTTTACGATCATGTAACATTACTTAACAAATCATTCCCACCAGTGGTGATAATAACTATGTATATCTTTATGATTGTTATTACTGATATTTTAATGATGATTTAGGCTCTATAATAGAAGGCTGTGAAGAAGGAGCACATCATCTCTCATCGTATATTACTAGACGAATTAAAGAGAAACAAACAATAACTATGTATAGAATAAATAAATAGGAACAATAGATTTGGTTAAACGCATTTGATTTAAAAGAGAGCAATATTTTAATTTTCTTAGTTAATTCTATGGAGATTGTTATCTCTTTTTTTAACTGCTATGTTAATAATAAAACTTTGAATTTAAAAAGAAAACTATATAAACTCCATAACTGATTATTAATGTTTTGAGATTAAATAAGTAATATTTATACATTTATAACAGATTCTTCATTTACTCGCATGGTGAAATAAAATTTCGAGCAGAATATTTACCTAACGATTCAACAACTCCTTCTCCCTTTACATCGAAGGCAAGCAGAAAAATGATATTCGTATGTTCATACTTTAAACTGCTATGAATCTTTTTGCACTAGGCCTTGGCGCAGTAGAATAACTGTGCAAACCATCTGTATTGCGCACCAAATGATATGCTATGCTGCTTATATATAAAAAAATTAAACAAGGGCAGTATTTAAAATTTGTTAATGCTATATTTCCTTCAAGGGAATTGGTTACCAAAAGTTGAAATAACAATTAACAATTAGCGTATCTACTTTTCTAACTGGCCTAACACTTTAAGCCCGACATCAGCGTCATTTAGAAAGAATTTATTTTTACTGCACAATTTGCTTTTTTTGTACGTTTTTATTTACACACAAAGCTGTTCGAACGTTTTTTTATCTCTATAGAATAGTATGAATGTTTTACAGATAGATAGTTCAATACTTATTGTCATTGCTTCTAGTAGAAAGTACTAGCATTTCGCTACTGATCTATCATCAAATATAATTTTTTATCCAAGTCATTTTTTAAACGTTTCATTTTTTTTAAAGAAGAAAAACGGTATTATTTACTTGCAAAATGAAGTTTCGGGCTGAAAGTGCTAGTATGAATAAAAGCTGTAGTCAACATGTTCTAAAAATAGAATGTTTTAAACAAATTTACATTTGATCGAAATATTAAGCATTGGTGGTATTAGATATTATTCTAAGTAGACAAAGAAATCATATTTGCCTCAGCTTTGGACTTTTTGGATCAAAGTAGAGGGTTGAGGTAGAATTTGGTGCACACGTCAGGTGGTCGTAACGATATTTACGATAAAACTTCATTTTCTTTTTGTTTTAAATATTTAGCGCTCTTATGTACGCATACGTTTATAAATACTGCACAATAATATCCGCTTTGGAACCGTACATAGAGGTTCAATAGCTTTAAGTATAACGGTCGATGAGACACATGGTAACAATTCGAGTGATAATGAAAATAAAGGAACGAGTAGGAGACCCCGTATCAGAGGGAAAAGGCTTGCATGTAATTCAAAGTAATATAGAAATGAAGAACCAGCCCTGAGTCTTTCTCTCTTTTTTTCTTTCATTTCTATGCTCACTGTCTCCGGCGATGAGACTTGTCGGTTGCAACACGTTGTGTTGAGCGTAGAGTCTGCTATCATTCTTATTGCACTTCTGATGTTTTTATTTTAGCCTGCAATGTTGCGGTGCTGCTCTGCTATCCTTTATGCTGCATATTAAGCAGAGGCGAAAGATAACAATTAGTAAAGAGGATTCATCGATTCGAGAAATTCTGTCAAATGAAAGTTTGACTTGCTTGAAGTAGCTATTTCATTTTGTAATAACAGTAAATAGACTACTTTTTGGATACATTTTGAAAACAAATTAATCATAACACAATAAAGAAAAAAAATAATATTAAAATCATATTACACTAATTTTACTTACAGAAACTTGTTGAACAGGCTGTTCTTCACATTTACATTGCATAATATTTTCAATTACGTACATTTTCTATTAATATCACTACTGGATTCTAAATTATAAACTATCAATGCAAATGTAAATATTGAAAATGATAATGCTATATATGATTCTGAATCAAAATATATAATATAATATAAGATAAATTTATATTTCTATTGAATGTGTGTAATGGATTTATCGAATGTTTTGTGATAGAATGAAACAGCTACCTCAAACGGACAGACGGACGGACAGGCAGGCATGCAGGCAAACAGGCAGGCTGTACGATAGAGAAAGTATTCTGCTCTAATAATTTATACTTCAAACTACCGATTATAAATAGACCAGAAATGAAATAACAATTACAGTACATTAAAGATGTACCACCTTTCCAAGCGAAAGTGCTAATTTTAATGCAGCCATATCAGAGCAGGAAGCACACACAACACCTGTTGTGACTAATTATCTTTAAAGAACGCATTGTGTTCATACTGTCACAGATTAAGATATAGTTCTTATAGACCGAAGATAGTAGCAGTCAACGTTTACATCTAGTATAAGAAGAACTGAAAGTTCAACAGATTGATGTGTTTGGTACCAATACTCCTAATTATGTCTGTAACCTATAAGTTCCTTAAATAAGAAAGCAACTATATGGACACAAATACCTTAAATGCAAATATGTTTACAATCATATTAAAATAAGATTATGGAAATAATATAAGCAACATAAAATATGCAAATACACGTTATTAAAGGTAAAATAATTTTGTCATATACATACTAACAAATCATTATTTATCTGGTCCTACTAAACGACCGTCTTGATGAATTACAGTTTACATAGTCAACACTTTGATATGTACATTATCAATGCACATAAATGTTATTAATTATTAATAAAAGTTAAACCTGACGGTTGTCCGTCTATCCGTATATCACAGATCAAAATTGTACTACAATGATTAAGTTTCATAGTTTCATACAACTTTATAGCGCTCTTTTGCTACGTACAGTCGAGTGAAACATCATTTTATAATCATTAATGATGGACAATAACATAAGCATAATCGTTTAGAAACTAGTTTTCGTTAAATTCTGAATTTCAAGCAGACTATAAAAAAAGAAGAATACTTACACATTGATGATACATAATTACTGGGGAATACACCAGATACTCCATTTAATTCGCCTTTCCACCATGCTGTATCTTCTTTTGCGGTTACAACTATAACATCACCCTTTTCAAAGCTTAACTCATCTTCATTTTGAGCTTGGTATGGATATAATGCCATAACGCGCTCTATAAAAATAATATATTTTTGTATTTAATGTACCACAATAAATGAGCATAAGTGAACAAACATAGAATTTGATGATTACTTACCAACATTTGGATCTGTTGGGGAATCTTGATAACCATGGGAAACTGGTGTACTTCGATTGCTGCTACTAGTTAAAGGTTTAACATAAGATGCTGGAAACCATCCAATCTGTCTTTTCTTACCACGTGCCTATAAAAAGAGTAGTAAACTTAGTAAGTATTGGTATTTTGTCTGACATAAAGAATACAGTTAATATGAACCTGTAATTCGCCTTCCCACCATCCGCTATCTGTTTTTTTACGTATCATTATTAACTGTCCTTTCTGTAAATTTAATTGCTCAGAACTGGTAGCTTGGTATGGTGCAAGAACTTGTACAATCTCAGGTTTCCTACCCCGCTGTATAAAAAAAGAAGAAATAAACAGAATGAAACATTTAAAAACATTTTACTACCTTTTTCTTTACTATTTTATATGTATAATATTTATTAGAAATAAGGGAAGCTTTTTACAAAGCTGTGTTTCGTAGGAGATAGAATACCTTAACATACTGTAGTAACAGGATGCCAGCAATGAAGATAAAATGGAAAGCAATTAAGATTTATCGAAATATAACAAATACTGCACACTTTCATAATACACATACATAAGCCATTGTCATACTAATTACCTGCTGTGCTGCCATTGCACTAAAGTCTGGCAATTCTGCTCTATCTTCAGCAGCTGATCTTTCATCTTCGAGCTGCTCAGCAGTCTTTTCCTCTTGCTAAACATGGATATAGCAAATCTAGCTTACTGTATTTTTTGCAAGATAATATGTTTATGCATACATAGAATGTTAAATTAAGCATCTTATACCATGGCATGATATTTCACAGTGCAGGATAATAAATATACTTTTGATGTGAGACTGTACAAAGTGAAAATATGAAAACAAAATATTACAAACCAGCGTTGCTTGACTAACCAAAGCTGCTTGGCTAGTTGTCATTGTGTCTGTCGTCGGCTCAGTCGTCATAGTCGTTTCAACAGACGTAACTGCTTCAGTCACATTAGTAAGTACAGAGGTATCCTGGTTAATGTTACATACGCGTTAGATTAAAAAATCTCACTACTTGCTATTACTATGAAGGAAGTCGCAAAATTCAAATATAATAAAAAATTCGATGCATTAAAATAGCCAACTAAAAAATCATTGCACCTGTTCTGGGGCATCACACTTTTCTACATAATTAGCAGGGAAAATTCCATTTCTATCTCCTCCTATGCTACCAGTCCACCAATCTCCTTCTTTCTTAGTGACCAATATAACTTCTCCTTGATTGAATGTTAGATCTCCAGGTTCTGTGGAGGTATATGCATACAAAGCCATATAGTACTCATTAAGACCATCAACCACTGCTGCTTGATTGGAAGCAATTTCTTTGACGTATGACTTGGGGAACCAACCACTGGCTTCAGTACTAGATGTACCATACCACCAATCACCCTAATTAATTAAATAATAATGTGTGTAACTGAATGTCTTGATCGATTTCAAACTAATATTGATATGTCTATATGTGTAATTTCAAACATCATAACATTTGATTAAATGACATGTATGCACAAATTATGCTTACCTGCTGTTCGATAACTTTAATGATATCTCCTTTCTCAAAGGTAAGATGTTGATCAATGGTAGGTCGATATTGAAACAGAGTTGTTACTTGGACATCACAAGCTATACCTAGTCCAAGAGTAGGAGTAATAGGTTCAACAATAGGAGGTTCTCCACCTAATGAACCAGCATCGGATACATTCTCAGGAACTTCAGCTATTCCTCTGCAATTAATAATATAGTAAGCAATAATTCCAAATATTTTCAATGATTAATATACTTAGTATTTCACTAACTCTAAAGTCCTTTTCTCGACGCTGTCTTGCTGTATGAAAGCATTGTCATTTCCTGTTACAGCATCTACCTGTTCAACATAAGACTCAGGGAACCAACCAATGTGACCTCGAATTTCACCAGCTATCCATCCCGATTCGGCATTTTGAACAGGTGGTACCTATTTTATATACAAATTGTTTATTTTGTGTATCAATGTATAATGTTTACGTATCTTTACAACAATTACCAAAATAATATCACCAGGCTGAAATGATATCTCATCCTGATTTCTGGCTACAAATTCGTATAAAGCCCTATATTTCATAACTCCTGGAGTAGTTTCCTCTACCATGGTAGTTGTAGTGGTATCACTAACAGGCCAAGTATTATCATTAGCTGTTTCAGTAGTATCATTCCAAGCATTGTCATTCCATGCAGATGTATAATCGGTTCCACCACCGGTATCGCCACCAGCTCTAAGCTCTAAGACTTTTAATTTTTTATCTTCGAATGAAACATAAAGATTCTTACAATCGGTTGTTAAATCTTGAATCTGTGTCTTAATATCTTGAAGTTGACCATTGTTATTTTCGATGTCAGCCATTTTGGCTTCAATCTATCAACATAAATATGTGTTTGAAGAGTACTGTATTTTAAATACAAATTTACTACACATGTTTACATATACCTTCTTTTCGGTTTAAATTAAAGGAAGCGTACCTGTTGTTGCAAATCAGCTATCTTATCTTTCATTTGCTTAAGGGTGATCTGCTTATTGTCAAATGCCATTTTAATAGCCTCTTGTCCAGCAGATTCCATAGCTGCGTTCATTTTGTTCTTTGCTTCGATGCGAGCCTTTTCTTGACTCAAAGCTAATAATCTTTGGTTGTGTTCACGAAGTTTGTTCTTCAAGGCAGCCATCTCTTGTAATTGTGCATCACGAGTTGACCGCATCCCATCGATAGTTGTTTTTACACCGGAGACACCTACTCTAGTATCGCAAATTTTCTGCGACAACTCTTTTACTTTATCATTCTATACAAAATACATAATAAATTACGCAGTGTACGTTATATAAATAGAGATTGTTTAACTGATGACTGAATGCTTACAAGTGTTCCAAGTTCAATCGTTAACGTTTGATTCTTCGCTTTCAACTTAAGCAATACATCCTGCTCTTTTTGCCTCTGTGCTTGTAATTCTTGTGATTTTTGTTTTTCCCATTCTAACTGCCTTTGTCTCTCCATTTCTCTGTAAAATGAAATGAACTTGTATCAGTAAGGTCCAATAACAATTTTTAAATATAAGTTCAACTTACTTCCGTGCCGCTTCTCTTTGTTCTTGAGCTCGTTTACGTTGCTCTTCTTTCTCTTGTTCGATTTCTTTTTGCCTTTGCATTTGCTTTTCAATTTCTGCTTGCCTACGTCTTTCTTGTTCTAACCTATGTACATTTATACATTAATATAGGGAACATTAATTCAAAACAAGATTCACTAACCTAATTTTCTCTTGTTTTTCAGCTTCTTCTCTTTCTTTTCTTTCGCGCTCCTCTTGTTCCTTACGTTGAATTTCTAATAATGCTTTGCGCCTGCGCTCTAACTCCGCTTGACCTTTCTCAAAGTTTTCTTTACGTTTATCTTCAAAGGAAGTCTTAAAAAAATAAATCCAGAATATAAAAAAAGTTTTAAGATCTAAACTCATATGAAAATGGACCTCACCTGTGGCATTCCAGCTGATGGATCCACATTATCTGACCCACCCTGTGAAAGTGTTAAACTGCTTTGTCGTTGACGTCTGAACGCAGGTGGAATTAATTCTATTGGAAGTGCAGTAGGTATCTTCTCGCCAACTTTAGCGATATCACATAAATGCATTGCCAACACAAATTCGTCGCAGCCCAAACGACCATCGGAATCCATATCCGCGAGCGCCCTAATAAAATAATCATATTCTATAAAGACACTAAAAACTATCAATTCAATTGCTTTTATCGAACATGTATAACTATGTTACTGTACCATATTTCTGCGAGTGTCTTTTGAGGCAATTGTGATTGCACCATAATATTTCTAGCCTGAGGACCAGACAAGAAACCAGTTCGTGTTCTATCCCAAGTATTAAATAACTGAGTATATTTTAATTTTGTCTGATGTGGCACTGCCCATTCTACAGACTGTGGAGAACCCACTGAATGCTGACTATGCTGACTATGTTGTGAATCAACTGAACCCACTCTATCTATACTTGGTGGGCGTGCTGTTGTACTTAATGGTGTGCTTGTCGACACTGGTGTCTGAGCAATTACACCGTTTACTAATGCACCACTTGCTGTGGTTGATGATACTAGGGGTAAACCTACAACTGGAGGAGTTGACACTACACCAGTTCCTGAAACAACAGTGATATACAAGTTAATGTACATAAAATTATCAATATATCAGTTAATCGAATATATTTCAAAGTTTACATACCAGTGGGTATTGCTGCAACAGATGGTACAATGGTAGAACCACCAATTGGAGCAGTCATAGCAGTACACAGTGGTTGCATTGGTAATGCTTGTCCCATACCGAAAGCAGCAATTGGAGTTGGATTTGTATTTAAAGGAGCAATTGGTGCTATTGCAGACATACCTGTTTAAAATAAATTATATACTACATAATTTAATCTGAACGTTTATAATTACAATAAAATAGTTAGCTTTACTAAATTAGATGAGTCTGAAATTAGTGATTTAAAAAGTACCAATTTTATTTACATAAATGACTGAAGAACAATTCAATTAGATTACCAGTATAGTAGGATATCTTACAAAAACGGTATTACTGATAGCCCTACATTATAACATTATCTTATAAGTATTACAGGTATTAGAATTTGATACCAGAAAAAATAATTTTAAGGACTCGGTGTTATAAAATACTAAGGCGTCATTAAAAAGAAATATAAATATCATTATTTAACGATAAAAAAATATAAAGGGATCAATAATATTGTACTCTCTACAACACTCAATGTGTTATTGCATTAGAAATACCTGGTAAATCAAAATCAAGTAAATCTGTAAAGAAAGAATCAGATATATAAACAATATATATATACTAGTACAGATCTGCTCAAGTTGTAAAAAATAATAAAGAGCAAACAAAACGAAGATTGAATTAAATGTTAAAAATAAATTAAATTTACCCATGGCAGAAGTAGTCATTTGTTGTATTGGTTGAACTGGAGGAACCACTGGTGTAGCAGACACAGGTAATACTTTCACTGGTGACATTCCAGCTGCCACTGGACTATTGGGAAATGAAGGTGGTGCAGGTTTCGGTGGAGGACCAGCAGTAGCAGGTATAAAATTTGCCCCTGAAATTATACAACGTGTAGTATCCCTTAATTCAACATTACATTATTTTAACTGTTAAACATTCAATGCAATAAGATACAGTAAAAAAATACAGAATATTAGCAAATAAGATAATAGATTATAAAACGAAATACAACAAATTTGAGCTCAAATTATTACAAAGCCTTGCAATAAATACAAAATCGAAGCATAATAGTATATGTTCATACACATGTATACATATAATTCATGGAGATGATTTTCAACACAAAGTGTACGATGTTGTGATGTTTTGAACAAAGAATAAAGATGATATTGTGACATATGATGCAAAAAGGAATCATTTCTCTGCCTGAATGTATAGTTCTAGAAATATAAGGAACTAATACCTAAGTTCACATGCGGACTGATCTATTTTATTTTCAAAGAAACAATATCTATTTTTCACAAATTTCCTTTGTTTCTTAAGACATACCAATATTTGTGGGTGGTGCAGGTCTTTGAGGAGGACCACCACTAGGGGTAGTAGTAGTGGAAGTAGTAGTA